TGGCTTTCTGAAGGCTTCTTTTGTCCTATAGAGGTAGAATCATTAATGCCAACCTGGGGGGACCAACTCTGAGCCCCAAAGGTCACAATCTTTTGTTATTGTCAATGCAAAAAGTGTCTTTTCGTAAGGGTTTTTTCAACTGAGGATTTCCCTCTTTCCAGGATCACAGAGGTGGCTTCTTATATTTTTATACATTTTTCAATAAAGGGGAATTGGGCAAAAGGGTCAGGAAAAGGTCAAATACACAGGGATAAATATAGAAATATAGAAGGATTAGGAATCAGCTACACTGTAGAATTGTTGCAGTTTGGCACCACTTTAACTCTCCTACACTCCATGATGTGGAAGCCTGGGATTTGTAGTTTAGGGAAAGACCTTCTGAAATTACAACTCCCAGAGTTTTACCACATTGAGCCATGGCAGATGAAGTGATGTCAAAATGCATTCATTCTGCAACTTAAATGAACCTAGGAAGGTTGGAAAATATTGGACGTTCTGGGCGGAGGTTTATAAATGCAATTGTGCTTATCAGAGAGAATTAAGGTATGGCTGTCCATTGCAATTTATAGGAAATTTAATAAGGTAAGTGCTCAGTCGGGGGAGATGACAGCATAGCATGTCCAAGTGACTGGAAATTGGCTGAGTGTTTGGAAAGAAGGAGTTTTACCAAGGTAGGCAGTTAAGAAATGATTGCAAGACAGCTACACTTGGAGGGGCAGCAATTAGGTAAAATCCTGATGTGTAGTGTGGCGTAGTGGTTGGTGCACTAGACCGTGACTCTGGGCATTACAGGATGGATAGACAATATCAAGGCATCTGCAACAAGAATCATACAATCCTAGAGTTGGAAGGGACTCCAAGGACCATCCAATCCAACCCCTTTTGTGCCATCCAGGAAGGCACAATACGAGCCCTCCCAACAGATGGCCACTCAGCTGGCCAAGAAGTGACAAGTGGAGTGCCGCAGGGTTGCGTCCTGGGCCCGGTCCTGTTCAACATCTTTATTAATGACTTAGATGAAGGGTCAGAAGGCAGGATCATCAAGTTTGCAGACGGGACCAAATGGGGAGGGAGAGCCAAGACTCCAGAGGACAGGAGCAGGATTCAAAGATCTTGACAGATTAGAGAGATGATGGGCCAAAACTAACAAAATGAAGTTCAACAGGGACAAATGCAAGATACTCCACTTTGGCAGGAAAAACGAAATGCAAAGATACAGAATGGGGGACAATGCCTGGCTCGGGAGCAGTACGTGTGAAAAAGATCTTGGAGTCCTCGTGGACAACAAGTTAACATGAGGCAACAATGTGATGTGGCGGCAAAAAAAGCCAACGGGATTTTGGCCTCTATAGTGTCTAGATCCAGAGAAGTCATGCTCCCCATGCTCTATTCAGCCTTGGTTAGACCACACCTGGAATATTGTGTCCAATTCTGGGCACCACAATTGAAGAGAGATATTGACAAGCTGGAATGTGTCCAGAGGAGGGTGACTAAAATGATAAAGGGTCTGTAGAACAAGCCCAATGAGGAGCGGCTCAAAGAGCTGGGCATGTTGAGCCTGCAGAAGGGAAGGCTGAGAGGAGACATGATAGCCATGTATAAATATGTGAGAGGAAGCCACAGGGAGGAGGGAGCAAGCTTGTTTTCTGCTTCCCTGGAGACTAGGACGCAATGGGACAATGGCTTCAAACTACAAGAGAGGAAGAACATGAGGAAGAACTTCCTGACTGTGAGAGCCGTTCAGCAGTGGAACTCTCTGCCCCGGAGTGTGGTGGAGGCTCCTTCTTTGGAAGCTTTTAAACAGAGGCTGGATGGCCATCTGTCAGGGGTGATCTTGAATGCAATATTCCTGCTTCTTGGCAGAATGGGGTTGGACTGGATGGCCCAGGAGGTCTCTTCCAACTCTTTGATTCTATGATTCTATGATTCTGTTGCAAAGCCTCCAAAGAAGGAGACTGTGCTGTCGCACGCTGGGCCTGTGCACATGACTGTAGACAGGACAACGGGACGCCGGGGCTGCCTCAGATTAAAGGCCTTTAGATTCTCCCAAACAGAATCTTTAGAATGCTTAAAGTAAATCCAACAAAGTTCTTTATTAAGGAAAACAAACAGGTACTTTAAAGCATTCTTAACAGTCTATTGGCTCTTGCAATCTTGTTCAGTGGGAACAGGCACTATCTTCATAACTGTATACTAACTAATGGGGAAATCCTTAACTTCTAATCTGGGCAGTCTGTCTTTGCCTCTGTTGGCGTGGAGCCCCTGCACCCGGTACCAACTGCGCCTGGCTTCCGCGAGTGACCCTTACCAAGCAGAGCTTTGTAGACTTCCAGGGAAAAAGAAGTTCAGGTTGCTGTGATGGCCGGCTGAAGTCCCTCAGCAAAGGAGTTGAAAGGCTGTATGATCCTCGGCCAAGCTGTGGGCTGTATATCTCCCCGGCCAAGCCGTAGAAGACGAAGCTTTCTACAGGAGCTCTTCGTTTTATGTCCTGTGTGAAAGGCTTCTCTGTGAGAACTGACTCAAAAAGGCTCTTATTCCCTCCAAAAAGGGGCGGGACCAGGGAACCTAACTATAACTGACAGGTGGCTTGCCCTATGATTGCAAACTATAACAGGAAGCCACCCTGCTGCAAAATCCCAAACCTGGGATTGCAAACAAACATTTAATGCAAAGCAAACAGAATTGGAGCTCCTGGTACAGCTGTACCAGCACAGAGACTGCACTGAACTCCAAGGAAGAACTTCCTGACTGTGAGAGCCGTTCAGCAGTGGAACTCTCTGCCCCAGAGTGTGGTGGAGGCTCCTTCTTTGGAAGCTTTTAAACAGAGGCTGGATGGCCATCTGTCAGGGGTGATTTGAATGCAATATTCCTGCTTGTTGGCAGAAGGGGGTTGGACTGGATGATGGCCCATAAGGTCTCTTCCAACTCTTTGATTCTATGATTCTATGATTCTAAGGCGGTCGATATTCCAGAAGTGTTGGAAGGGGCCCCTAAAGGTCATCTATTGTGTTGTTATTTGTGTTATCTGATGTTTTAATTGGTTCAAGTGTTTTACATGTGTGTTGGTTGGCAGGGTATAAAAATAAAGTTGTTGTTATTATTATTATTATTATTATTATTATTATTATTATTATTATTATTATTATCTAGTCCTGCCAGGCAGGAAGCCACAGTTCTGAATTTGAAAAATAATATATATTAGCAGGACTGCAGATTGAAGGGTGACTTGAAAGTCTTTCATGCATGACTTGAAGTCCCAGAACTTTTAATGGGTTTTAGAGTCCCAGGGTGCATCTACGCTGCATGATGAATGTATAGGATCATGGCAGTTGTAGTTTTGCAAGGAATTTTAATGGGTTTTAGAGTCCCAATGTGCATCTGCGCTGGAGAATGAATGAATGAATGAATGAATGAATGGAATCCTGAGAGTTGTAGTTTTGCAAGGAATTTTAATGGGTTTTAGAGTCCTAGGATGCATCGATGCTGCAGAATGAATTTATGGAATCCTGGGAGTTGTAGTTTTGCAAGGACTTTTAATGGATTTTAGAGTCCCAGGGTGCATCTATGCTTAAGAATGTATGGAATGCTGGGAGTTGTAGTTTTGTAAGGGCTTTTAATGGGTTTTAGAGTCCCAATGTGCATCTGCGCTGCAGAATGAATGAATGGAATCCTGAGAGTTGTAGTTTTGCAAGGACTTTTAATGGGTTTTAGAGTCCCAATGTGCATCTGCGCTGCAGAATGAATGAATGAATGGAATCCTGAGAGTTGTAGTTTTGCAGGGACTTTTAATGTATTTTAGGGTCCCAGGGTGCATTTGCACTGCAGAATGAATGCATGGAATCCTGGCAGTTGTAGTTTTGCAAGGACTTTTAATTGGTTTTAGAGTCTCGCTGCAGAATGAATCTATGGACTCCTGGGAGTTGTAGTTTTGCAAGGACTTTTAATGGGTTTTAGAGTCCCAGGGTGCATCTATGCTGAACAATGAATGTATGGAATCCTGGGAGTTGTGGTTCTGCAAGGATTTTTAATTGGTTTTAGAGTTTGGTGCATCTACGCTGCAGAATGAATGTACTGAATCTGATAGTTGTAGTTTTGCAAGGACTTTTAATTGGTTTTAGAGTCTTGGTGCCTCTGCGCTGCAGAATGAATGTAAGGAATCCTGGGAGTTGTAGTTTTGCAAGGGTTTTAAGTTGATTTTAGAATCTCGACGCATCTACGCTGCAGAATGAATGCACTTAATCTGAGAGTTGTAGTTTTGCAAGGACTTTTAATGGGTTTTAGAGTCCTAGGATGCAGCGATGCTGCAGAATGAATGCATGGAATCCTAAGAGTTGTAGTTTTGCAAGGACTTTTAATAGGTTTTAGAGTCCCGGGGTGCATCTATGCTGAAGAATGTATGGAATGCTGCGAGTTGTAGTTTTGCAAGGACTTTTAATGGGTTTTGGAGTCCCAAGGGTGCGTCTACGCTGCAGAATGAATGTAATGACGGGAGTCTAGTGGATTCTCCTTCTTTGACTGGCCATCTGTCGGGAAGGCTTGAGTTGGACATTCCGGCCTGTCAGAACAGGGTTGGACTAGATGACCTCCAGGGATCTCTTCCAACTCTTATGATTCCCAAGGTGAGATAGAAGGTAAATATGTGGCCGGAGCTGCAAGTGCCAAGATGGGGAGATGAGTGGAGGGCCCTCCTCGCTCTCCGGCTGCCAGAGAATCCCTTTTGCTATTTGCAGAGACCGAATGCCATCTCTCTCTCTCTCTCTCTTTCTCCATAGCAGGTGTGCATGACAAGCCAAGTGTGTGTGTGTGTGTGTGTGTGTTTTCTGTATGACAGCAGTAAAGAGGGAGGGAGGGAGTCCGGCTGTGTGCCCAGGCTCCATGCGCAAGTGGCATTTGCAATCGCAGCCGCCAAAGGAGCCAGATTCCTCCATGGAGCCCGGCGCATAGGGCAGCATGGTCTTGATTTTGCACCACATCCTCATTGCGGCTGTTCAATTTTTCAGACGGGGCCAGCAGGTCTTCCTGAAGGCGGAGGAGGGCGGCCCGGGCGCAGACACCTTACAGGTAAGACTCACCTGCTTCACCTTTGGCCTTCTCGGTGGGCTTGGCAGCCCTTCCCTTGTTGGCACCTGTGGCACGTGGCATGATGCATGTCGGTCAACTTGGGGCTCACTTTGCCAGATCCCAGTTGCAATGTTCAGGGCTCTTCTCTTGATTTGTATTTCTTTCCACCTTCTCTCTTTCCTTCATTCCCCTTCTTCTTTCTTTTCTTTCTTCTGTATACACTTCCTCTCTGTCACACCTTCTCTATCTTTCCTTTCTCCCTCCTTTCCCCTTTCTCGTTCTTTTCTTCTTTATAACCTGTTGCCAAAATTAAGTATTTAATTCAACAGAATATAGTTCTAATATCCTGACAAATTAACATACATATATACAAAAAAAAAATTCTACTATCTTTCCTGTTTATTCTTTTATTTCACTCCTTATAGTTTAATGTTCTTATTTCCTTCCACCTTCCCTTTATTACTTAATTCATGGTTCCTTTCCTTATTATTATTCTTTCCTTATGAATCCCATCTCTTTCTTTAAGTACTTGTCTTAGATAGGAAACCACCAACAAACACCAGATGTTGTAGGCTATATTTCAAAGGAAGAAATTGGCAAAATCCCTCTGGATATTCCTTGTCCTAGAAAAACCTATGAAATTCATGAGGTCACTACAAAACAAGCAAATTCAGGGCACACAGAAACACACAAAACACACAGACATGCTTTTTGGGGTAACAGGAAGTTCCAGAGCATCTTTTAAAAAAGTCAGTTTTCTTATGGGAACTTTCCTTCAAATATATTTTATCATACCTGTTCATTTTGAGTTCTACTGGCAAACGAAGAAGAATATATTTCACACACATTTTGTTTTGTAGTACTTTTCATTCTTTCCTTCAATCCTTAAACTCATCATAAGGTTTTTCATATCTGTCCCCTTTTCTGTACATTTGGCCATAAATATAGTTCTTTAAAAATATGTCTTTATTTGGGACTACCCTCTCTCAACTACTTCATATATCATTTATATTTCTTTCCCCCACGTATCGTTCTTCTTCCGCCTTCCCTTTATTCTTCTTACTCAATTCTTCTTACCTCCCTCTTTTTATTTCCCAATACCTTATTTTGTAACATTCATCTCTCAACACCTTCTATTTATTCTCTTCCAATTACTGTTCTTTAATTATTTACTTATCCATTAAATTTAACTTTTATTACAATCATTTCATTATCATGTATTTGTACAACTCTGTCTTCTTTTTGTTAAATTTCGCTATAACAACTATAATATTTACTTATTTATTAATCCTTTAATCATAATTCATTTCTTCTTTAATTAATAATTCCTTTTTCTTCTTTAATTCGTAATAATATCAGTCAAATCTTTACTTTACTTTCATTTGTCCAACAGTGATACATTAATTCTATGCTCAGGAATAACTACGTTGTGTACTTTTTATTATACTTATTTAATAATTATAGTTTGTAGTCTTTACTTACCACTTACCTTTCTTATTTACTGAAATTAATACTTTATTTAAATATTTGATTTGTCTTTACATTAACTATTAAATTATTTAATAATATTTTTTAATAAAAATTATATATAAAAAAAATTATGGATATTACTTTAGTAATCATTTAACATTTCCTATGTTTATTAAATACATCCGATTTCCGTCATACATCATTTCTTTCCGTTATAATCTATCTTTATCAATTTCTGTCTTTATTTGTACATGAATCTATCTTACACATTATCCGATATTTACTTTATTCTCCTGTACACCAAGTACGTGTTAATTTATTCCTTTACATACCTAATTACACTTTATTATTTACTTCATGACTCATTTAATTCTTGTCTTTCATTGTAATACATAAATAAATCTCTTTACACTTCAATAGTTCTATCTTTACAATCAACTCTCTTTCTTTCCTATGTTTTCTTGTGGACAATTCCTCTCTCTTACAAGTTATCTATCTTTCTTTCTTCCTTCTTTCAAACTTCTTCGTTAATTTTTCTTTCCTGAATACTCCTTTCTCTTTCATTACTGACTAATTGACTTCCTATATTCTCTTTCCTTACCCTCATCTCATTATTCCAAACTCTGTCTTTATTTGGGACACTAATCATCTAAAACAGTCTCTATCTTTACTATATTATAATATAATAATTATCGTTAGTCTCTACTTTTTAAATAATAAATTATTTAATTCCAATCTTCCTTAATTCCAAATAAATCTTCTTTTTATTTCCAACTATGTTAGTTTGGAAACTTAACTCTATTAAACATTATCTATATTTTACATTTTACAAATTTCCCATTATAGTTATTTTTATTATTTAACTTCATAATTCACCTTTCTTCGTTCAACATGAATCATTATCACATTATTAATATGATATGTACTCTTTTCAACTCTGTCTTTCTTTTGCTTTCTTTTTCCTGTCTCATTCCTTCCTTCCTTCCCTCCCTTTCTTTCTTTTTTTCCTTCCCTTCCCTTCAAATTTCCTTCTTCCCTTTTTGCCTTCACTTGTTGCTTCCTTTTGCACATGGCATGGATGTCGGTCAACTTGGTGCTCACTTTGCAGTGTTCAGGGCTCTTCTCTTTCTTTCCTCCTCCTCTCTTCCCTCTAGTTCCCCCTTTCTTCTTTCTTTTCTTTCTTCTGTGTACATTTCCTCTCTCACGCCTTCTCTATCTTTCCTTTCTTCCTCCTTTCCCCCTTCTCGTTCCTTTCGTCTTTCCTCTCTCCTTCCCTTCCTCTTTTCTTTCCTATCTTTCTTTCCTTTCCTTTCCCTTCCCTCTCTTTCTTTCCCTCTCTGTCTTTCCTTTGCTTCCTTTCTCCTGCCTCCTTCCTTCCCTCCCTTTTCCCCCTTCTTTCTTTACTCCTTATTCCTTTCCTTTCCCCTCCCTCTCTGTCTTTCTTTTTCTGCCTTTTTCCTGCCTCCTTCCTTCCTTCCCTTTCATTGTCCTTTCTTCCTTATTCCTTTCCTTCCTATCTTTTTTCCTTTTCCCTCCCTCTGTTCCTTTCTGTCTCTGTCTTTATTTTGCTTTCTTTCTTTTGCGTTCTTTTTCTTGTCTTCTTCCCTCCCTCTTTTTTTTTCTTCCTTTCCCTCCCTTGACATTTCCTTTCTTCCTTTTTCCTTTCAATTTTCCCCTCCCTCCCTCCCCTTCTCTTTTTTGGGAATTCCTTTCCCTCCTTTCCCTCTCCTTCATTCCTTCTCTACTTCCTTCTCTTCTTTTCCTCCTCCTCCCTCCCTTCCTTTTCTTTTGCTTTCTTTTTCTTCCCTCCTTTCTTTTGCTCTCTTTTTTCTTCCTTTTCCCTCCCTTCACTTTTCCTCCCTTCCTTCCATCACTCTTTTTTCTTTTGTCTTTTTTCCTTCTCTCCCTCCTTCCTTTTCCCTTTCCTTCCCCCTTTCCTCCCCTTCTCTTTCTTCTTTTCCTTCCTCTCCTTCATTTGCTCTCCTTCCTTCTTCCCCCCTCCCTTCCTTTTCTTTTGCTTTCTTTTTTCTTCCCTCCTTTCTTTTGCTCTCTTTTTTCTTCCTTTTCCCTCCCTTCACTTTTCCTCCCTTCCTTCCATCACTCTTTTTTCTTTTGTCTTTTTTCCTTCTCTCCCTCCTTCCTTTTCCCTTTCCTTCCCCCTTTCCTCCCCTTCTCTTTCTTCTTTTCCCTCCTCTCCTTCATTTGCTCCCCTTCCTTCTTTTTTCCCCTCTCCCTTCCTTTTCTTTTGCTTTCTTGTTTCTTCCCTCCTTCTTTCTTTCTTTCTTTCTTTCTTTCTTTCTTTCTTTCTTTCTTTCCTCCCTCGTCTTTCTCTCTTTCCTTTGAAGAGTTGGAGGCTCCTTTCTTTGGTCTCCTTTGCTGGTGGTTTTGATCTCTTTGGAGCCTTGCACATGGTTCTCTTTCCACTCCAGTGCTGCACATGTTTTGTTCCTCCCATCCCTTGGAGTTTTGGCATTTGAGCAGTGATGACAGAGGGGGTCTTCTCTTCATTATCCTTCACTCAAGAGGGCTGGGCAGTGCCAGCCTCTGATGTGCCACTCTCTCAGCCACAGGCTGCTATGCAAAGATGCTCGGAGATGCTCAGAGCACCTGAGTCCAGTTCCTAGAAGACTTTCTCTGCTTGCAAACTTGGGTTTTGAAAGCACTGTTCTGCTTTATTTATTTGTTGTGTCAGGGCAGCCAGTCAATTATATTACATTTCTAACAGAACAAAGCAAACAAACAGACAAAATACAAAATGTGTGAGTTTGGTAGCTGATTAAATGTCCTTTGACCAGTATCTGGCCACTTGGAGTGCCTCTGGTGTTGTTATAAGAAGGTCCTCCCTTGTGCATCATGTGGCAGGGCTCAGGTTGCATTGCAGCAGGTGGTCAGTGGTTTGCTCTTCTCCACACTCGCATGTTGTGGATTCCACTTTGTGGCCCCATTTCTTGAGGTTAGCTCTGCATCTCGTGGTGTCAGAGCGCAGTCTGTTCAGCGCCTTCCAAGTCGCCCAGTACTCTGTGTGTCCAGGGGGGAGTTTGTCATTCGGTATCAGCCATGGATTGAGGTTCTGGGTTTGAGCCTGCCACTTTTGGACTCTCGCTTGCTGGGGTGTTCCAGCAAGTGTCTCTGTAGATCTTAGAAAACTATTTCTTGATTTGAGTTGTTGACGTGCTGGCTGATACCCAAACAGGGGATGAGCTGGAGATGTCTCTGCCTTGGTCCTTTCACTATTGGCTGCTACTTCCCGGCGGATGTCAGGTGGTGCAATACCGGCTAAGCAGTGTAATTTCTCCAGTGGTGTAGGGCGCAGGCACCCCTTGACAATGCGGCATGTCTCATTAAGAGCCACATCTACTGTTTTCGCGTGGTGAGATGTGTTCCCCACTGGGCATGCATACTCAGCAGCAGAGTAGCACAGTGCAAGGGCAGATGTCTTCACTGTGTCTGGTTGTGATCCCCAGGTTGTGCCAGTCAGCTTTCGTATGATGTTGTTTCTAGCGCCCACTTTTTGCTTGATGTTCAGGCAG